TATATTCAGATGTGTGTGGTCCTATCCAAATGGATTTGATTGAAGGTAACATATACTTTGTCACGTTCATAACTAATCAAGAATACAAGTGATGTGCTTGAGGTGTTCACAAAGTTTAAATCTATGGTGGAAAGATAAAGTGGTTGAAAGCTTAAAACTCTTAGGACTATTTGTTGTGGAGAATATGTGTCAAAATATTTTGATGCATTATATGAGAAATAGGGGATCATGCATAAGATGGTGTCACCCTACACTTCACAAAAAAAATGGGTTTGCAAAGAGGAATAATATAACCATCATAAATATGATGAGGAGTATGCAAAGAGGCAAGCACTTACCTAATGAGTTATGAGGTGAGGTTATGTCGACTGTAACATACATCCTAAACAGATGTCTGATTAAGAAGCTAGAAAGAATCACACCAGAAGAATGTTGGTCTAGTGTCAAGCCTAGATTTAGTCATCTGAAGGTGTTTGGATCTATAACACATAGACATGTTCCTGATCATTTGAGAATGAAGCTTGATGATAAGTCTAGCCAAATGATCCTGATAGGATATCATTCAATTGGTATATACAAATTGTTTGATCCCTTGACCGAGCACGTTATGATCAGCAGAGACGTGATCATAGATGAGTTGAAGGAGTGGGATTGGAAAGATAATTCCAATAAGGATTCAGTGAGAATCCTATGTGATGAACTAGCTAGTAAGGCTTCTAGAGTATTTCAACAAGAAGAAGTTACAGGTCAAGCAGGCACAAGCAAACCTCAAAGAACAAGAAACATGCCTGCAATGTTGTAGGAATGTGTGATTACATCAGTTGATGTGGTCAATGATGAAGGTGAACTTGTTCATTATGCTTTCTATGCAAATACTTAGCCAGTAAATGTAATTGAGGCATTGAAGAACTCAGAATGGATATAGGCGATGAATGAAGAGTTGAAGTCCATAGAATTTAACAATACATGGTCACTAGTCGAATTCCCACAAGGAAATAAGGCAATTAATATGAAGTAGATTTATAAAGTAAAGCTGATTCCAAAAGGAAAATTAACCAGATACAAAGCAAGAGTAACAGCTAAAGGGTTTCTTCAGAGAGAGGGAATTAACTTTGACGAAGTCTTGCGCCAGTTGCTAGGATCGACATAATCAGGTTGGTTATTGGTCTAGCAAACATGAACGACTAGTATATGTGTCAGATGGATGTGAAATGTGTATTCCTGAATGACCCTTTAGATAAAGAAGTCTATGTTTAACAACCAATTTGGTTTGTGAAACAAGGCCAAGAACATAAGGTATACAGGTTGCATAAAGCCTTGTATGGACTTAAGCAAGATCCAAGAGCTAGGAATAAGAAAATAGATGGCTTTATAAGAGAGAAGGAATTTGTGAAATGCGCAACTGAGCATGGAGTATATGTCAGAAGAAGTAGGAGTGAACTATTCATATTATGTCTCTATGTCGATGACCTATTGATAACAAGTAGCTACAAGAAAGAAATCGAAAACTTCAAAGGTAATATGAGTAAGGAGTTCAAAATGTCTGACCTGGGCAACATTTCATACTTTCTTGGTATCAAATTCTACAAAAGTAGTAAAGGCTTGATGATTCATCAAAGAAGATATGCAAGTGAAATACTCAAAATATTTGAGATGAAAATCTGCAATGCAACTTCGACACCTATTGAACCAAGACTGCAATTGTCGAAGGACTCGGATGAAGATGATGTAGATCCAACTCAGTACAGAAAACTCATTGGATCAATAAGATACATTTGTCACACAAGGCTAATCTAGCATACAATATAGGTATAATGAGTATATTCATACAGAAGGCAAAGGTATCACACTTTGTATCCACAAAGAGGATACTAAGGTATCTCAAAGGAACTTTCGACTATGACATTTTTTTCTTGGAGCAAATGAAGGAAAATAATGCAAACTAATGAGATACACTGACTCAAGTTGGTGTGGTGATGTTGAGGATAGAAAATCCATAATTGGGTATGTGTTTATGCTAGGTGGTGCACCAAATGCTTGGAGCTTAAGAAAAGAACCAGTAGTAATGTTGTCATCATATGAGGCGGAGTACATAGCTGCTTCTCTCTATGTATGTCAAGAAACATGGATGGTGAACCTGATTGAGGAGATTTCACAAGAAGACCATGGAACAATGATCATGAAGATCGAAAACATGTTTGCTATCAACTTGGCCAAGAATCCAATATCACATGGAAGGAGAAAACATATCGAAATGATGTTCCATTATTTTTGAGAGAGAGTAGCGAATAGGAAGATGAACTTAGATCACTGCAAAACTGAGAATCAGTTTGCAGACATCAAGATGAATGTTATGCATGTCAAATTATTCAAGAGATTAAAAACAATGGTGAATGTAGATAGCTCAGACACAATGATTTAGATGGTGGGTTAAATATGTAATTCTTTGTGGTAAGGATGTGGTAAGAATCGATAGAGTTGAAGTCGAATGTATTCGATAATGGTCGAAGTAGATAGTTGTCGAAGGAGTTAACCTCAACAGAGTTAAACTTAGCATTTATTTTTTGTTTGTTAGTTAGAGATTACTTAGTGTACAAGTAATATCATCTACAAATAGGGAGATACCATACTATTGTAAGTAGTTATTGTATAGAATAAGAGAAATTCAGTGCGAATAAACGCAAAGAGAAAATTTTGCAGAATTTGATCCATCTTCTTCTCTTTTCTCCCAAAACCATAATTTCTCTTTTCTTCATCTTTTCTATTTTCTCTCTCAAATTATCTCCTCTCATCAAGTCATTGTGCGACAGAATCATCTGGCAACCAAAGTGTGGTTGAATCACTCAAGTGAGTTGAAGAACTAGAGCGATCATTCTGAAAGATTAATTTTTATTTATCAAGATTGATTCGAATTATCTCTAAGATTAAAGTTTAATTCCAACACAATTAAAATGTTTTCGTTTGTATTTGACACTTTTGACTTCCTAACACCATGGATAATAAATCAAATAAAGTGGTCTAAAAACTCATAATCAGTAATGTTATGTCTCCTAAAATTATGGATGTAGTTTTTAAAAGAATTGAATTTGAAATGAAAAAAAAGAAGATAATGACGCACAATGGTTGGAATGTGTTCCTCACAACATATGTGATTGTTTTGCATGATGTTGCTATATTCATTTTTAAATTAAAACAACATTTAACTATTGAAATTGAAAGGAAACAAAGGTAAGGTTGTGACATGGTTTCCGAAATACTTAGCAGTGTCATATTTTGTGACATATCAAAAATAAAATAAAAAACTATCTCCATTATAGTATAATTTAATTCATTAATAAAAATATTTTAAAACTATACTTTGCGCATTACTTCATAGACTAATTCTTTGAATTAAAAAAGACTACAAGACAAGAAGAGCAAAATTGTTTCTCAAAAAATTGAACTTGTAATATAATTAAAAGTGAGTGGTGCATATAATTGACAAGGTAGAGACGAAAACGCGTAAACTCCTGATAACAGAACAGACTCCACAACACGCACATATATACGCGCTTTGTTCTTTTGGCTGTAAGATTCTGCCATCATATCATATGCGTCTGTCCTTCAACCACCTAACATAAAATACTATTCTTATTATTCTATCATAGATTCATACTTAACTAAGTCTTTATTTACAAAAAGTTATCTTTAATTATAATAGTTTTTTAGTTATTAGATATATCATTGATTCTTTTTCATGTCACTAATAATAAAGAAACAATTTTATAAAATAATTGAAACTATTTTTTTTTTAAATAAAAAAGTATATATATATATCTAAAATAATTTGTAGAAAGCGATTCAAAGGTCTAACTAACAATATTTTAAAGACTAATTATTCCTGAAGTTCCTACAATCACAAAAGAAGATAAGTAACATGTTTACGAAACTTCGTGTAATCAACATTCTGTGAACTATATTTTTTATAATTTTCTCCACTATCCTTGTATACCTTCTCATTCCTATGTTTCCAACATTCATAGATGGTTTGCGCAAACGATGTCTTTGTAAACTTAACTCTCTGATTCTTATTTTTACTAATATTCATCATCCAACTCAGCTTTTGCTCCCAACCTGCTGGCTCATGCTCGACATTCAGCCACCTTAGGACCCCCTTTCAAATGTTTATCATGGTTCTGCATTCGAAGAACAAGTGCTGCAGAGTTTCCTCCTTGTCACAAAATTCATACTTATCATTATCCAACATACCATGCTTGACTAGCCGCTTGTTAGTTCCAACCAATTTTGACAAGCAAGCCACATGGTAAACAAAGCTCGCGGCCTAGCTTTATTATCATAAAAGAATTTTCTCCAAACAACTTTAGGGGTTTGTTCCATAAGGCCATGGTGACACTTCTTTATGCTGAACTCCCTATTCTTTAGAATATCTTGCAATTTCCTTTTTGGCTGCACCACCTCCATTTGTTTCAAAATCTTCTTTAAAATCCAAGAGCAAGTTGTTTTTATAGGCACAATCATTATGTCTTCCTCCTTTACATAATACTCATGTACTCAATTTATCCACAAGTTTTGTCACCTTTGTTGAATAAGTTTCATAACAACTTTATGAGGCAAGCTTGACGATGTTCAGATCAGTCACATTCATTCCCCCTTGGAACTTAGGTTTACACACCTTGTTCCACGCAACCAGGGTTTTCCTACTCTTTTTGTTCTTGCCAGTCAACATAAAAGCTTTGCACATGGCTTGCACTATCCTAGTTACACCTTTAGGTAAAGGGATGCATTGCATCCAATAATTAGTAGTTCAAAAGATCACATTGTTAATGAGTTGTATTTTGTCAGAATAACTCAGCATTTGAGCACTTCAATGGTTAATATGCAACTCCAATCTTATCCACCAGGCTAAGGAATTGATTACTAGTCAGCTTTTTACTAGACAAAGGGATACCTAAATACCTGAAGGGTAAAGGGCCTACTAACAAGCCGATTATATCTTTAATCTACCTCTCACTGTCAGCATCCACATCACCACGATACATCTTGCATTTACTAGGATTAACACATAAACCCGTGGATCTAGAGAAAGCATTGAGTCTATCCATAACCAGCTGCACATACATCACATCACCTCTTGTAAACAACAATAAGTCATCTGGAAAACTAATGTCAACAATATTCAACTTTTCACATTTTCCATGGTAATTAAAACTGGGAATCCCACTCAAACCTTGCATTTTCCTGTGCAAATATTTCATGATGATCACAAATAGCAAGGGGATATAGAGCCCCATTGCCTCAACCCTCTCTTTGTACAACATCCCTTCACATTGAATAAGTCACAGTTGTGACTGCTGCAACCACCCACATTATAAACTTTCTAGGGAAGCTTACCTCAACTAATATGCTTTGTAAGGCTCTCTAATCAACTGAATTATAACCCTTTTGGATGTCCATCTGAAGCATACATCTAAGCATCCCACCTTTCCTACTATATCCTTTTATGAGTTCATAAACTAACAACACATGATCATGAATTTTCTAACCAAGCACAAAGGCTGTTTGGTTTCTACTAATAATGCTACTAATAACCCGACTTAATCTTGTATCCATAAATTTAGAGATTATTTTGTACACCGTTGGTGTTTGGTGTAAAAAGTGTAAGTTCAACAAAATCAATTTATTTCAATTATTTGTTTGTGTTATTGTATGGTTGATTAAAATAAAAAATAAATATTTTTATATATTTTATCGACTATAAAATATATGTAATTCTTAATGCATATTGATTAAATTCAAACAAAATATATTTATTTTTTTACAAAGGTAATTCTATTTTTTTAAAAACCTAGCATTCAACTTTTAAAATTAATTTGAAGGATTAATTTCACTTTCCGCAGTTCAATTAAAATTATATTGAAACTTTGAGAGAAATACTCTCTTTAAAAAGACAACTAGTTATAGTTTTTAATTTATATTAAATAATTAAATTAAATTATAATTCAAAAAGAAAATAGTATTAATTAAACTAACACTTTATTATATTTTATTTGATTCTTCAAATTAATTTTTATATTTTAAATTTAAATAATTTTAATCTTTTTCCATATTTTCGTACTTAAGATAACAATGTCTTCTATTTAAGGATCATTATTTGTGAACGTGAGAAATTATATTTATATTTTATAAATACAAAATATAAGTTAAAAGTATATCTTTCAACAATTTTTAGTGCAAAAAATAAAAAATAAAAAACCAAAATCATTTCAATTTTAAATAAAAAAGTTAATTTCATAAATCAATTAAATAGAATAACTATAAATAGAAAATTAATTTCATAAAACATATAAAATGGAGGGACCATAGCTTAAAATATAGAGGCTTCTAATTAAAGCTTAAATTTATAAATATGAAATTATTAAAATGGAGGGATCAGAGACTTGTAATTAAAGTTATAAAGTTTAAATTTATAAAATGGAAGGACCACCTGAACCGCCGTTACACTGTCTTCTTAATATCGCCGCATCAGCATCCACGTGATTCCTTTCTCGCACATCAATAACCACTGTGTCATTCTCTCTCTCTCTCTCTCTCTCTCTCTCTCTCTCTCTCTCTCTCTCTCTCTCTCTCTCTCTCTCTCTCTCTCTCTCTCTCTCGTGCACACGCGGACAATCCTCCGCCGATTCTGCATCCATAACCTCTCTCTCTTTCACACACACACACACACACACGTGCGCACGCGCGCATGCGATATCTGAGTCCGATCACAGTGATAACGAAAGCAACAACATAATCGTCTCTTCTGAAAGTCGTGATAATGCCTAGGAGATAACCTCTTCTCCCTTATTGGCAGCCACAAAGATGGAGTTTCATCCCGCTTTCATTATTTTAAACATCAATAATCACATTCATATTGTTCTTGAGATGAAGAAAAATCAAAATGGCACATGGGCTGAGCTCTTCCACTTCCATGCCCGTTCTAATCGGGTTCTACATTATTTTGTTCTCTCTACAGACAAAAAACCACTGACAGATACCTTTACTTTCAAGTATGAATAGTGAACTACTCCTGACTATACCGTTCTTTAATGGATGTATTCTACAATCTCCACTGACTTGCTGACCACCATCTGGGAACCAGACTCAACTGCTATGGAAACCTGAAATCGGTTGGCTAACATTTTTCAGGATAATCATAATGCTTACACTGTCACTCTCGAGCAAGAGTTCTTTAACACTCGCATGGAGGATTTTCCCAATGTCTCTACTTACTGTCAGCGTCTTAAGATGTTCTCTAACCATTTGAGGAATGTTGGCTCTCCTGTCAGCAACCATCTTCTGGTTCTTCAACTGATATATGGTTTTCCAGAAGCTTGCCGCAGTGTTGCTGCCTTGATTTTCTAGAGTATTCCTCTTCATGCCTTCTATCGAGCCCGCTCAATGCTCACTTTGAAAGAAGTTGGTATGGCTAAATGACTAGCACTGCCTCTCATTCTACCATGCTTACCACGCAACGACACCCTTCTGAAGACATCTCTTGGTATGAAAACCGCCACCCAGGAAACCATGTTCATTTTCGTGACAACCAGGGCTAAGGCGGAGGACGTTGTAACCATCATGGTCTTCAGCTTGGAGCTCACCACAACATTTTTCTTGAACCTTATATTGAGCTCTCTAGTTTTGGACATGTTAGCAAAATCATGTCTTACATGGTTGATTTAGATCGCCATCCATAACGCCCACCAACCACAAAAACTTCACATTTCCATACCCACAAAAGTAAGTTAATAACATCTTTTTCATTTACTAACTTTACCGATTATTATCTCTAACTGATTTATTTTAACTTTTTTGGTTTAGATGGTCGGCTCGTGGTATGACTTACAATAGGTGTCCTAGACACTGTATCATCCAATATCGCAATCTCTCCGATCACCTTACACTTGGAGATGTATTGCCACTAAACGAATCAATTTATTTTTAATATTACCCATTTTATAATCTAATATATTTTTCTTCTACGATTCATTTGGCGTCTATATCTAAACTTGGATCATCAACATGAAGTAAGAGAAGAAGATGCGGCTGTTTGAAGTGCATGTACGTCGATCATCAGGTTCACCACTGTGGAGATGCACCACGGTGACCGTGTCAAACTGCAGCTCAAAATGCTTCAAAACATCCCAGATTCCCCGACATGCCCCGGATAATGGCACAAACAAAAAATTAATGAACAATGGAACTTTGACAGTTTGAAGGTTTTCACTAAATCTGAGTGTCGTAAATGGAGGAATCGTCGTGACCATGTCTTACGTAATGTTGTGATGCCAACCCCATCTAGACCAACTAAAACTTATATGGCTTAATACAAATCGGTTGCAACTGGGTTTGTCTCCGAAGATATGTATCTACACGACCCACGACAAACCACTTACACACAAGAAGCTTCAATGTCTAACCCCCATAAAATTACCAGACCTATTACTCACAACCCCTACCCAACAAATTACCGACCCGCAATCAAAATGACCACAATACCAAGAGCATCCTCCATACCATCGTCAATAAAATGACTATTATCAAGACACTTAAAATGCATATGCCCAAACATAACATCCTACCATATTTAAAACATCTAAGGAACATATAAACAAACCTTTCTTCATACCATAGCCAAATTGCACAAACATCACACCATAGCTAAAACACCCAAACATCACAACAACCATATGGCCATCAAACACCACAACAACCATTTCAACCTTTCTCTAACAATCGTTCAAACCAATACCCCCTTTCAATCATCTAGATCGTACACCAATGACCTCGTCAACACATTCCAACTACTCTGGCATGGACCGTGAACTCAATTACGACGACATGTCACTCCATATATAATACTTCTTAGAAATGCAAGAACTTTTTAGGGATTTTGGTGATGTTCCTAAGACCTCAAATTCTCAAACACCTAAAGTGAATCAACAACGAGTGCAACGAGTTAGGGTAGTTAGAGGGTGTGAAACTGGTGGCCGATATGACCAACCCGGTCGTCATCGTTAGTGTTTGTAAAAGTATTTTTAATTAAATATTAATATTTATTATTTATGTTAAAAAAAATCAAAATGTACACTGGTGTCAGACCAATTGGCGTCTCAATTATAAATTTGTACACTGACGTCAATTGAATTGACAACATTATATGCAATCGCCAACCCAATTGACACCTCCATTATAAAATATAGAGTTGTCGCAAATTCGCCCGTCAACAAAACTGTGCTCCAAATTTTTATTTATTTTTAAATTAAGTACTTTAATTTTTTTTAAATATGAATTATTGTGGGAATAAATTTTAAAAATTGGATTATTTTAGTAAAAATTTGAAAATGACTTAATGAACTCATTGTTAGGGGATATTTTCATTAGGGAGTATTTTTTAAACATTGTAGGATTTATTTATTTGAGTAACATCTTTGTGAGAGAAACACCACATATTCACCTAATATTTTAAGGTGATAGATGGATGAATTCTATTACTTATAAATATTTAACTCACCATATTTCTATTCAATATGAGACTATTATTCACGCTACTCACAGTTAAGGCTGACAATGAACCGAATCAACTCGAAAATAGTTCGGAATTTGATTCGACAATTAAATCGTTGAACTAGGTTCATGAACCAAATGAGTTGACTATGAACGAAAAATTAAGTTCGTTAACTAAATGAGCTGAACTTGAACTATACATAGTTCGACTCGTTAGGTTCATGAGTCAACTCGATTACATATGAGAAGAATTATACTGTCTTTAAGATTAGGTTTAAATATTTACTCCAAATCTTAGACAAATTTAATCTTCAATTTAGTAGTTTTTCAATTAGACTCTCAAATGTATCTCTTGAAAGTTGTGTAGATTTTGAATTAGTAGATTTCGAAGATAAAGTTAAATTTTAATATGATAACTTTTATTTTATTTTAATATTTTATTTTAAAAAAAATATTTATTTAAAATGTCAAATATACTAAAAAAATATATATATTTAAAAAAATAGTTTTTAAGTCCGTGAATCATGTGAGCTGAACCTAACGAGTTGAACCGAACTGTTTGTGAACTTATAACGAGTCGAGTTTGAGCTTAAAAAAAAGTTCGTGTCGAACTTAAACTCGAATTTGAATCAATTCTTAATAAGTCGAGCTTAACTGAAGTGAATTCGACTCGACTCGACTCATTTCCAGTCATACTCACAGTTATAATTCT